TAAAAGTTGCGATGGTATTATTACATGTCGTAATGTAATTAAGGTTGCAACTTTTAAATATGTCTGCACCTCTAGGTATGATTATGTGGGAACTCACGTCTGGTCACCAACCATTTCATGATAGAGCACATGATGAAAATCTCATTATAGATATACTTAGAGGATCGAGGCCAGAGATTACTATGGATACACCCAAATGTTGGGCAAATGTAATGAAAAAATGTTGGGATTCGGACCCCTTAAAACGACCGACAATTGAAAAAATAATAGAAAGTTTAGATCCTGAAGAATTTCGGGTGGCGGAGAAAAAACGTGAAGAAATGATAAAATCTGGAATTTCATTTGTAGAAAAACCGGGATTCGAACATCCAAAGTCCGTTTATTCTAGTAGAACATTGGATTATCTAATTAAGAATTCAAAGGTCATTTTATATAATTTATCCAATACCAGAGAAATGTCAAGTAAATCTATTTATTCATTTTATTATTATTATTATTTTGTTAACTCCGGTTTAAAATTCGCGAACGTACTGAATATATTTGTTATTAAATTAATCCATTTCTATAGAGCATAATTACAGTAACGTTTCGGAAACTCTCTGTGAGTGTTACATCGTTATACAATAAATTTTTTCTTATCAAACGATTTTATTGGTAATTAACGCAATAATCGGTGTTCCTAATTAGGACAAAACGTGAAGCTGAAGAAACTGATGGTAAGGAAGAAAGATTTTGTTGTTTATTATGAAGGTGACTCGATAATGATATGGTTTTATTATTCTTAGATTTCCATGAGATAGTAGATGGTAAGAATCCTTTTATTCGAATGATGTAACCTACAATGTGTATTAATCAATCAAAATATTTGCGCGTATAGAAATTGATTTTGGCTTGTGAATAAGTTTTATAAGTTATACCAGTATCCTGTGCGTTTATTGTTCCATGACCTATCGGATTTCTATGGTTCATTTTGTAATCAATATACTTATACGTATGGAATTTAATTTTTTTTGAGCTAGTGTGATTCTTTTATTAAAATTTGTTTGTTTTTATTTTTTTTTTAAAAAATATCCTTCTCAGAAGCCTTGTTAAGTGGATATTACATTACAATAATATGTTAAATTTTTATGTTTATCCTAATTTTGCGTTGCTAACAAGGTCCAGTTGGGATTGAATGGAAAGAAAATTGTATATTGCATAAAAATGAAGAAACATGTGTGTCTGGAATTATTTAATCACAGTTTTGTCATTTATCGAGCTTCAACTAAACTCTTATTTACCTCTGCAGTTATTTTAACAATTTAATAAACTTCCAGTAATGTTTACGGTCTATGCTGGAGCAACATTAATTTAGAGATAGAATACCGTATGTACAGTATTTTTATAAACATCAAATATATGCAGTATGCAATTCCCTGAAATCAAAAATTTTGAATTACCATTATGATTATGTACTGCAGTAAAGTATTAAGCATAATTTCTATACAAAAAATCTTGAGCGCAGTACTTTAGTTTATATAATTTATTAAAAAACAATAGTGATTCATTTAATATTTGGAATATTATTTGTAATTAATAAACTGCATTTAAATAATTGCAATCGATATATCCCGTTATCAATTATTCGACATCCTTTAAAGTGAATGAACACAATAAAATATCAGGATTACAAACAATATTGTTTATTTCCGCAATAGAAAAAATAGAATACAATTTCTTTCTGATATAATATGAAAAAAAATAATTATTTTTTCTAAATAAAATACCTCCGTAAAAGTAAAAAAAAAAAAAAAAGTTCTTGGTTCAACTTTTTATCTACAATAGGATGTACATTTCACTAATTTTACGTAGACAATTAAATAATATTTGATTCAACCAACCCAATGCAAAAGTTTATTATTCATACAATTCATATCATTTAATATGACTTTGCAAAACAGTAGAAACATTCCTCTGTTTAACAAAAACAAAAGGAAACGAAGCGAAAGATTCATCAGAACAATTTGTGAACAAGAATTTATTTAGAATACATTAAATAATTAACGTCATCTATTGTAGTAAATAATGTGACCAACTACTGTATACAGTAGTTATGATGTAATATTTTATCAGAGTTAGTCATAAGGTTTGGAATATTTTATCTTAAAGCTTGTTCATTAATTGTTGATATTTCCTTTGTTTGGGTGTACATTATCTATGAAGGCTTTTATAGAGTTTTGTTGGAAAGGCAAAAGACTAAATGTAGATTTAAACAATAATTACACAAGTATTATTGCATGAACAATTTGACGGCAAGCACTATTGTACCGTATCACAGAAAGCACAGACCGCCAAGCATAAGGGAATACTGTAGTATGACAAACAAAACATAGGACATTTTTACATAGTCAATAATTAAAGATAAATAGTCAAATATTACACGGACTAAATATTAGAATAATAGTCATTGCCATCACTGAATAAAGATGCTTTATATCTTCATAATTCTTTTATCGATTCATTCCGTTAAAGCTCAAGATATCTCATCTGATAATTATGGAGACCTCAAAGACCTTTTTTACGGTCTTGTTTTTATTATAGTTGGAGCCTTGGCTCATTATATTTCGAAAAAATTTCATTTTCAATATTATAACAAATGTCTCAGTGTTTTTATAAAATTTAGTGAGATTCTTTTAATATCATCTGTCCCTTGCTTTGTGGTATCCTTTGAGCTTAATATGTTC